ATTGCCTTTTAAATTAACTTTTTTTAAAACATAGAACTTTAAATTTTAAATTGTTTCCATATTTTTACTTTCGTTTATAAATTTAATAAAAAAAATTTGATAACAACGCTTATATTTATAATTGTTTCCATATTTTTAGATACTTCCGTTTATAAATTTAATAAAATTTTAAAAAGAGAAACTTTATATTTTTATTATATATTTTGAGTTTATATTTAGAAAATTTTAAGAATTTCCAAATTTCTTTTATATTAAGTTAATACTTTTTTTATAAATAAATTTTCATAATCTTCTAATCTTTGAAACTTGTTTCCAATTCCTGTTAACTACATTATTTTAGAATTAGAAATTTTTCTTAATTTATTTGGAAGCTATTATAATGAGACTAACAATGTTATTATTCTTTCAATATTCTAATAATTAACTTTTACATTTTCTTATTTCCATATGTTGTGTTTCAAAAGTTTACATTTCTATTCTATAGAAAATTTTATAATTTAAAAATGTTAATTAACGTCTTGGCTAAAAAAGTTAATTAATGAGATGTCAAACCGCGATTGGTCGTTTTAAATTCTAGGTGGATGGCCTAAGGAACTTATAGCCTCGACTTTTATATAGTATAGAAGTTACACGTATTAGTAAGGGATTCGTCTAAAATTCGGTGATATAATTAAGAGAGAAATATATACTATTACATTTGGTTTTTAGTTTTTGTGTTTTTCAATTATTCCTCGTTCCCGTGACAACTCTTTTCAAACGGGATTTGAGATGTTTCCCAATAAAAAATGTTTGCGTCTAGTCACGAGTGTGTCTCTGCAATAGTTATCACGTGATGATAAATTGGCATTTGCTCACTCTGAAGTGTGCATACATCCACCAAAAACCATTGTTGTTGCCTCTTTTTGGGTCTGGTGATGTGGTAACCTACTCACTTACCTAATTGGTCTTAGGCCCTAAAAGGTTAAGAAAGCACCAAACTGATATAGACACCGAATTAACTAGAGGGTTGACAATATTTACTTTTCATTATTGTCTTTTAATATTAGTTTTATTGTCTTTTCTTCTTGCTAGATTTTCCTTTGTGATTTGCTTAATTGCCAAGGTCTATTCCTATTTAAAGGAGATGTTTGAGATTAATAAAGATCATCCATCAAGAGATCAAAAGTTGAGTTCTCTTTTTCTCAAATAATCCTAGGTGGATTCTATCATAAACATAAACATTTATACTTAGCTGCTAAATCAATTGACTTCGTTTTGATTTTTGACCAAAAACTCTAGTCTAGCAATATATAAGATTCGAAAATAAATGGTTGCTAAATTTAGAAGGCTCAATTTCGATTTTTAAAAATTGACATCAGCCCACAAAACTCTCCTGTCCAGAGCAGAAATGTTCATTTGTAGAAATTACAACAAAACAGTAACAAATAAAACAGAAACCAAGGAATGAAGACAGGGGAGAGAAGACAAGAAAGAGCCAAAAATAAAACGTAAAAAGGATTGATCTTTCCTTTTAACCTCTCTGCCTTAGCCGCCTTCTAAGGCAGAGGAGATTCATTTCTTTCTCTCCCCAAGAAAAACTATACAAAATTTCAGAAAATTTATAGTAAGTTCGATTATGGCGTTTCAGGATTTCGACAAGATCCAAGAACGTGTAAACGCCAATAGGAAACGTAAATTCAGGAAGAGGATCATCGTTGGAACGGTCTCTTTGCTTGTGGTTGTTGCTGCCATTGTTGGAGGAGCTTTTGCTTACGTTGCTTATGAGAAAAGAAATGAACAACAACAAGCGAAGAGCCACAACAAAAGCGGTAGCGGCAACAACGTCAAGGATAGCGACAAGAAGAGCCAGAGCCCACCAAGCCAGAGCCCATCAAGTAAGAGCCCACCAAGCACGAGCCAAAAAGCTCCAGTTTCCGCAGCTCAGTCAGCAAAACCTGGTCAGGGTGACAAGATTATCCAAACAATCTGCGGTTCAACGCTTTACAAGCGAGCCTGCGAGGAAACGCTCAAAAACAGAACAGAGAAGGGTTTTGCTTTGGCCAATCCGACGAGCTTTTTGAAGTCTGCCATTGAAGCTGTCAATGAAGATCTTGACCGAGTTTTAGAGAAGGTCTTGAGTCTCAAGACTGAAAACCAGGATGATAGAGATGCGATTGCACAATGTAAGTTGCTTGTGGAAGACGCAAAGGAGGAAACCGCCGCATCGCTGAACAAAATCAACGGTACAGAAGTCAATAGCTTCGCAAAGGTAGTTCCTGACCTGGAAAGTTGGCTAAGCGCGGTCATGTCTTACCAGGAGACATGCCTTGACGGGTTTGAAGAAGGGACCTTAAAATCTGAAGTGAAGAAGAGCGTCAATTCTTCACAGGTTCTGACGAGCAATTCCCTTGCGATGATCACATCCTTTGACGTGAATCTCTCTCCAGTTATGAAGGTCGCAACACGACATCTTCTTGATGATATTCCGTCTTGGGTAAGCAACGAGGATCGAAGAATGTTAAGGGCTGTTGATGTGAAGGCTTTGAAGCCTAATGCCACTGTAGCTAAAGATGGCAGTGGAAATTTCACGACCATTAATGATGCTCTGAGAGCAATGCCTGAGAAATATGAGGGAAGGTACGTATTCCAAAATATTTCATAACGTGATCATTACGTCAAATTATGTTTGAGTTAGGTTTAGGTTAAGAAACTAACTAAAGTTTTCGTTGTAATTTCAAATTGTAGGTACATTATCTACGTCAAACAAGGCATTTATGACGAATCTGTGACTGTCGATAAGAAGAAGGCGAATCTCACTATGGTCGGAGATGGATCACAAAAGACAATTGTGACCGGAAACAAAAGCCACGCAAAGAAAATCCGCACTTTTCTCACGGCAACGTTCGGTAAAACCCCTAATCTTTTGGAAAATTTGTCTTGACAATAAGTTGGTATATAAGAGACATAAAAAAAACCCTATAAATTTATAGGTTAAAACTCTTTTAAAACTTGAAATTTAAAAAGCGTCACTGAACATAACTTGAAACATTTTAAGTGTCAGTGTGAATCAAGACTAATTAAATTTTCTAAATGTTTGGTTTTCCTTTAATAGTTGCACAGGGAGAAGGGTTTATGGCACAGTCAATGGGGTTCCGGAACACGGCTGGGCCAGAAGGACATCAAGCAGTTGCAATACGTGTCCAATCCGATAGATCAATTTTCCTAAACTGCCGATTTGAAGGATACCAAGACACATTGTACGCTTACACACACCGTCAGTACTACAGAAGCTGTGTGATAGTCGGTACAATCGACTTCATATTCGGAGATGCGGCTGCCATCTTCCAGAACTGTAACATCTTCATCCGAAAAGGCTTACCAGGACAAAAGAACACCGTGACCGCTCAAGGACGTGTTGACAAGTTTCAGACGACTGGTTTCGTGGTCCATAATTGTAAAATCGCTGCAAATGAAGACCTTAAGCCAGTAAAGGAAGAGTACAAGAGCTACCTCGGGAGACCGTGGAAGAACTACTCTCGAACGATCATAATGGAATCTAAAATCGAGAATGTGATTGACCCTGTTGGATGGTTGAGATGGCAAGAGACGGATTTTGCGATAGACACACTCTACTACGCGGAGTACAATAACAAAGGATCAAGTGGAGATACAACTTCAAGAGTTAAATGGCCTGGATTTAAGGTCATAAACAAGGAGGAGGCTTTGAACTTTACAGTTGGGCCCTTCTTACAAGGAGATTGGATCAGTGCCTCAGGTTCTCCCGTTAAGTTGGGTCTTTATGATGCTTGATGACAACTTGTTGCTTGCAGAGAAGGTCATGTGGTGACTTGCTTTGTTTTAAAAGCCATTAAGAGAGGATATAAAACTTCATCCACGGAAATTTACTTGGAAAATCGGATACTAGAACAGTGTGCTAAGAGAATGTGTTGTATCAAACCTAAATCGATTTGTGCTTAAAATATTTTTGGAAGGAAGCGTATTATAAGTAATATGTAGGATCCAAATGTTTTTCCCTCTTTCTCGATTGATCTCAAATACGATAAAAGAACCCGAATACACACAATGTATTTCCAAAAGAACCTAAACATATTGAAAATGCATGAAATCTTAAAAGATCTAGACGTTTCCAAGATGAGAATTAGGTTACATCATTAACCATAAGAAGTTGTATTTTCAATGCCTAATAACAATAATTAGTATGGTCCTTTGGGATTAATCTCAATTGCTCCTCTGAGTCAAAGAATTAATCTACATACTCTCCTCTAATCCACATACTCTCCTCCTTTTAATGAAAGGACGAAACTACCCATTTACTAGGTATACGTGGTACAACTAGTACCTCTCTAGTTGTACCACCTAGTTGTACCTTTCTAGTTGTACCTCCTCCTAGTTGTACCACCTAGTTGTACTACAACGTAGATGTACCAGAATATTCCCGAATATTCCCTAGTTGTACCAGTTACAACCCGTATAAAAGGATTCAAACCCTGGGGGCGCGCGCGTGCGCATGGAGAATTTGATCAAATTCTCAGATACTCCTCAGATTCAAAATTTAGTCTCAAATACTCCTGAGAATTTGATCAAATTCTCAGATACTCCTCAGATTCAAAATTTAGTCTCAAATACTCTTCAATGGTAGAAAGACAAAATTACCCTTAATGAGGGTTGATTTCGGGTGATAAGGGTTAAATACAATTAAATCGGTAAGTGTTCAACGAAAAACACAATAGCTCAGTGGTTGCGAGCTCCATGCGGACGCGCGCGCCCCCAGAGTTCGAATCCTTTTATACGGGTTGTAACTGGTACAACTAGGAAATATTCGGGAATATTCTGGTACATCTACGTTGTAGTACTACAACTAGGTGGTACAACTAGGAGGAGGTACAACTAGGTGGTACAACTAGAGAGGTACCAGTTGTACCACGTATACCTAGTAAATGGGTAGTTTCGTCCTTTCATTAAAAGGAGGAGAGTATGTGGATTAGAGGAGAGTATGTAGATTAATTCTTTGATTCTGAGGAGCAATTGAGATTAATCCCCTTGGATGGAGTTTCACAATTGTAGCAAAAAGCCAATCCACACCTGCAAAAATGTTAAAAGGTAAGAGCTTTGTAACACAGAGAAAACGAAAAAGACGGCGAAGAAGATACCTGCACATCATGTATAAGCAACCCTCAGATTTTTCAATGTAAAATTTGCAAGAAGGACATCTTTTCCACTTGTTACTCTCTGCCATATTCTTCAACAATATATCACCTCGTTCTCTTTCGTTCTCGGCTAGCTTCTGAAAATCTTGGCAAGTAATCTCCGGATGCCACTTAGTTCCACACTCTACACACACCATTCTATGGCAATGAGGACACTCCGATTCCGTCATCTTCACTTCACTCTCGTCCAAGAAGAGCAAAGCAGAGCAATCCTTATATGGACAGTAGAATCTCTTTGAACCCATAATCACCGCCTCACAAAGAGCATCTCCCCACCGATCAAAGACTTCTCTTGGCAGGATTTGTCGGCATTTATCGGGCCCGAGCTGCCCCGAGCAACCAGAAACAGGGCATTTGATTGAGAGGATGTTGTCTTGTAACTTAGCAGCTATATATTTTGAGACATAATCATTACATTAGGAATGAGAGCATCCATTGATTCGAAAAGATTCAATTTTGGTTTCCTTTCAACACATATCTCGCAGTCAAAGGAGCGTCTTCGTGAAGAGGACTGTCCCTTTTCTATGGAGATTGGTGTGAAACAGAGGACTCTAAGATCATCGTCTTCGTCGTTGTATTGATCAAGATCTATTAAGTTTGAGAATTCGGATTTGTATGGAGTTTGAGGAGAGTGAAACCGACGATAAAGGTGGCGATCACGGTCGTAATCCTCGACGGAGATGGCGTCACGTTTGGTTGAACCATAACTGGAGAGAGGTGTTGAGAAGATGAAACGGTCGGAGTTGTTGTCGCCGTCGTCATTGACGGTGGCTGCATTCATGGACTCTGTGGCCATTTTTCTGATTAGGGTTTTTATGATTTTTCGATTTTCTTGCTTGTCTTGTTGGGTTGGTTTCTGAAGCGTCTCATTTTTGGTGATGCTAAAACCTAAACCTAGGACTGTCCCAAAACTGCTCCGATCCGTATTTAAATTTTAAAGGGAAATTATGAGATATATCAATATTGATACATATATACATATATCCGTACTACTAAAATCTATACATATAGCCACGGCCTAGCCACAACGTGTCCGTGGCTAAATATAAGTAGCCACGAAAAAACCACGAACTAGCCATAAAATACTTTAAAAAACTTCCGTGGTTAATTTGTAGCAAATCTGTGGCAAAATGCCACGAAAAAGCTACCGATTTAATCGTGACAATATACCTACAGACATAGCCACAAAATATCCGTGTTAAATAGCCACGACCAAAAAACGTGGTAACCTCGTGGCTATCTTTCCTACGAATATGTCCGTGGCAAAACCGTGGCTAATTTCGAATATATTTGTTGTCTTAAGACAATTCTGATTATGAAAATTTACCGGTTGATGATTCTGATGACGAGTATGTATCAGAAGATGATATAGAAGAGCAGTGTGATGATTCTGATTCCAACTCCGATTAAGTTTTACATTTATATAATTATGTCTAATTGTTAATTGTTGTTGTTTTCAATATATATGTCATATTTTAGGAATAATAAATCTATTTCCAAAATAAAATTAGAATTGAAAATTTAAAATCTGTATTTAAACTAATAAATTATTTAAACCGATAAATTTTCAAATTACTAAATCTTAAAATTCTGTACTTAAACTAATAAACTAATAAGTTATCACAATTAAGTACCAAAAAAATAAGTTATCACAATTTGTTAATAACATTGGAGGGAGATTTGGGCGGGTTAGGAAAATTTGGGCCTTAATATTTTGGGTTTATGGAGGGAGATTAAAATATTCACAAGGGGGGAAACCTAATTGTGGATTTTAATCTCTCTAGCCCCTTTGGGGAGAATCAATTTTTGGAAAACACCTCTTTATTCTCATTACCCCCTCTCCTTCCCAATTTTTCCATAAACCAACTTTACCCCTTATCCCTTTAATTCTACATTTAATTTAATACCAACACATTTTTTATTCAACCAATCACAAACTTTCTCTCTCTTCTCTCATTAAAAAACAAACCTACCAAATGTCTCACCTTTTAGACATTAAACTTACGAGACTTTCAACAGCTCCGACGTTGCAGCTCCGACGTTGCAGCTCTGACGTTCGTCTTCTTCTTCTTCTTCTCCATCTACCATTGAAGCTGACCATTAAAGCTTGCATCTCCAAAGACATATTTCTTCTCTTCTTCTTCTTCTATTCCCACCATACTGTAAGGTAAATATACTTTTTCTTAGTGTAGTATGATTAAGTTGAATTCGTAGCTTGAATAGGGTTATTTGTTGAAATATTTTAGGATTGCAGATTTGGGACAACTGAAACCACTAGGTACAACTAAGTAGATTATTTACGGAAACCCTAAGTTTGGTGCAACTGGGACAAATGTGTACAACTATGTTGATAGTCTGCTACGAAAGTTGTGAAATTATAGGCCGTTTTTTCTCTCTTTCTTTTTCAGGGACAATGAAAAGGAATTCAGTCATACGATTTGCTTATGACGGATACTATACAAGTATCGGAGAAGATGTACATTGGATTTCTAATGGAGAAGATGAAGAAGCAAAACATGCAGTTGTAGACGTTTTGATATAGACAAGTATCCATATGTGCATGCGATAGCGGCTACACTTACGGCAAACAAGGATGCAGCTCCTGAGCTCCGGGCACATGACTTGTGCTCAAAGTATTATTGGATCGAAATTTGGGTTTTGGCGTACACGAGGGCAATTTATCCGGTTCCCCATAATAGTCAATGGGTTCTTCCTGAGGAGATCATGCAACTGTTTGCATATCCTCCGGATTATGAGATAAAACAAGGAAGAAGACAAGAAACAAGATTCTCTTCCGTTGGAGAGCATAGAGGACGTAAGAAGAGGTCGCATGGAGCGAGCGGTTTGGGCGAGTGGTTTACCAATGATGGTGACGTTGATGGAGACAATGCGGGTGACCAAGGTTGATTTCTCAGTACTATTTATTAGGTTAATTTAAGAAATGATGTTGTTTGTATTGGTTTTGTTTGTGAAACTTATATGTTCTGTGTTGTACAACTAAGTTTTAGCAGGTACAACTATGGTTAATTTCCTTTTCGTATCTGTGCAAATTTTGTAATGCCTTGGCCAATTTTCAGAATTTTATATAATATGAAAATTTCCTTGTCAGTCTGGGTACAACTAAGTACCACAAGTACAACTAAGGTCTAATGCCTTGGCCAATTTTCAGAATTTTATATAATATGAAAATTTGAAACCAAATTAAAAAAAAAACTTTAAAAAGGCATACACGATGGTAATGAAACTACACAACAAGTTTTTAACAAAAAATTTCATATTTTTAAAAAAATACTGAAATTCTTACTCAAAATCCCACATTCATACACTAACAACCTTATACTTTCGAGAGTTCACCTCTTGTGCCACTAATCGAGAATCGGTAATCTCTTATGCCACTATTATGTTTTATCTTTATTTTTGAATTTCTTAAAAATCGAAAAACTGAGTAAATGACCATAAAACCAAACGAATTTCTCTTATTTACGACCCAACCTAAAATCCATATTATTTACCCTAATATGTAAAATTTCTCTAAGTTTTTCAGATCGAAAACTGTAAAAACCTAATCTCATTCTTCCATTCTCACTCGAAACTCAAACTACTCTCGAGAAAACGAAGAGTCCGACGAATTCCGATGAATTCCGACACCACTCTCATCGGAAATCTTGCTTCTCCGGCGTATCGTCGTTTGCGTGTACTCCGTCATTCGTCTCCTCTGTCTCCTCCTCGGTGGTTTGTCTTTTCGTCTCCTCCGACTCCGTTCAGCGTGTCTTCGTCTCGTTCTTATATTGCTCGCGTGAAAGGTAGAGATAACAGGATATATGAATCAACAGAAGGGTCTCGAGAAGGGGCTGCAAATCCGGATCCAACAGAAGCTTCGACGGACGCTTCAGTTCCAACAGAAGCTTCGACGGACGCCGCAGTTCCAAAAGATGCTCCGACGGATGCCGCTTATCCAACAGAAGCTCCAATGGATGCCGCTGTAATTGGTCCAACAGTGGAATCCGCAGAAGCAGCCACCGAATTAGTAGTTTTTTCGGTTCCGGAATTGTCTGATAAAGAAGAGAAAGAAGAAGTCGGTGAGCATGATAAAGAAGTCTGTGAGTTGTCAATTGATGGTCAGGGTTGTGATAACGAGGAAGAAGAGAGAGAGTTGTTGATTCTGAGGGTGAAGATGTTGCTGGTGATAATGAGGAGGAAGATGTTGCTGGTGTTGTGAAGGTAAGTAACAGTTTGTATTTGTTGTATATGGTGTTAAAGGTAAGCAACAGACATAGTTGTACTCAGTTGTATGTGTTTGAATATGCAGAATATAGTTGATGATATTGCTGTTGAGGAAGAGGAAGAGGAGAGGGTTAATGATGTTGCAGCTGATACAGATGAGGATGATGATGATGAGGAATCCCAACCACTGCCGCCAGAGAGCATGTACTTTAGTCCAACTGAGTACAACAAGGTATGTAAGGTAGGTAGTAGGTGTAAAGTTGGCCAAACAGTGGCCATGATAGAGGCATTTGATGAGGAAGTTAGTTGGTTTAGGAATCATGCTCAGTTTAAGCATATATTCCACATGCCCAAGGAACCAAATCACATGATTCAAGGCATGTGGATGCTTATGCTTCGCACTGCTCGCACAGGTATGGAGAATGAGTGTTGGTTTGTTGTGAATGGAGTGCCTATAAGGTACTCCTTGAAAGAGCATGCTTTGTTGACCGGGTTGGACTGCCATGAGTACCCAAAGAATCATGAGAAGAAGGGTAGTTTGAGGTTTGTCAGGAGGATGTTTGGGAGGACAGACCTAATCAAAATCAAAGATGTAGAAAAGAAGTCGGCATCTATTAAGAGTGAGAAGTGTTTAGATAGGAAGAAGTTGATTATTTTGTTGTTTTTATGTGCGGTTGTGAAGGCTGATTCTAAGGGTGATGGGAACATAGAGCAATTCCTGTTAAGGATTGTTGATGATGTTCATGCTTGTGAGATATTCCCGTGGGGAAGGTATTCTTTTGAGCAATGTATGACAAGGATCCGGAGAATGATGAAAAACATGAAAGGTGAGGTGAAACCAAAAGCACAGAGCAGCTTTTTTGGATTCATCACTCCTCTTGAGGTAAAAACTTGTGAATATTGTAATGAGTTAGAGTGTTTAAGTTATAGTAGTAAAACTGTGTTATTGTGAATGTGTAGATTTTTGCATTTGAGTGCATACCACAGCTTGGAAGGCGATTCAGAGAAGCTGTTCCCGCAGCTAATGACTGTCCAAGAATGTGCAAATCTAAATTCACTGACAGTTGCATGAAGGGCTTTACCTTGGATGAAATAAACCAAGCCCTTGGTGAAATTAAGGTTAGCTTTTGGTGCCTTTACTTCTCTTAGTATGCATATTTATTGAGATTGATGCTATGTGTATTTGACAGGATATCTCAAGCATCTTGGAACCTGATATGGATGAGAAAGAGATGTTGTCTGGCCTTGTTGAGAAAGATGTTGATGAAGGGATGGGATTTATTGATCCAGTTGTTGAAGGTTGGAGAGAGCAGCTGATCAGAAAAAAGAATAAAATCTGGTGGAAAAGTCTATACCATATGGACTTGCAGGCTCGGGGTTTTGGTGATGTTGTCCCTGAAGTGGCTGAGAGGCTTGGTGATGTTAAAGAAAGTGATGGTGAAGTCCCTGAGAGGCTTGGTGATATCCTCTCATTACAGTCAGCTGTGGACAAAGGATTTGCGAAGATCATGGAGAAGTTGTCTGAGATGGATAGCAAAGTGAGTATGCTGGATGGGAGAGTGAAAGACTTAGAGGGATATGTGTCAGTCCAGCTAGAGAAAGAGCGGTACAATGAGTATCATCCAGGGACTTCAAGTGATTTTGTGCCAACCTATTGTACACCAACTGCTAATCAACCAATAGCGAGTCCGACAAAGGCTTTGGTCCTTCACAGTGGTTTCACAGACCCTAAGCCAATCCAGATTCAAGAATTGAGTGAGTTTACATTTTTGTAGTTTTTATTGTAACATACATGTTCTAACATTGGAGTTGTGTAGGTGATGAAGGTGATCAGGAGCAGCTGGCTAGGAAAGAGAAGGAGAACAAGAAGAAGAAAGCAGTGAGGCCGAAGCATAGTGGCCCTACAATCCAGACCGGGAAAAAGAGACAAAGGAAGGCTTCCAGGTTTCAGGCTGAAGAGTTTACAGCAGAGGGGAAGGGGAAGGGGAAGAAGCGGCAGAAGAAATAGGTGATCTTTATGAGAGATCACTCTTTATGAGTAATTGCTTTTGTGTGGGACAAAACTTATATTTTCTGAGTATTTTGCGGTTATCTTTTATTAGGATTCAAAACATTGTACTATCTTTTGGTAGTGTTGTGGTTTAGGTGCATTTTTTGTATTTGGGGTTTAGGATGATCCAAAAATTATATTTTAAAAAATTATGCATCTGGTCCAACTACTAACAAACGTGGGACAACTATTAACACAAGTAGGACAACAGGAACAACTACTAGTAATCCTGGGACAACTATGTGATGAACCAGGGACAACAGGGACAACTACTAACAATACAGGGACAACTACTATTAAGAACGATGGACAACAGGGACAACTACTAACAATACAGGGACAACTACTAATAATCCAGAGACAACTATGTGGACAACCAGGGACAACTACTAAATACAATATATTTAAATTTTAGTTGGACCAGTTGAACCAGTTGAACCAGGGACAACTACTAAATACAATATATTTAAATTTTAGTTGGACCAGTTGATCCAGGGACAACAACTATTAAAAATACTTAGTGAGTACATATAAGTCGGAGTTGTACCGGTTGAACCAAGTACAACTACCATTACTGCAGGTACAACTACTAATAATACTTCATGAAAACACAATTCCATATCCAAAATACAAATTCAAATATTACAAAGAGTAGGTGGTAATCATACAATATTACCACCTTGAAAGTAACCCCCTAAGCCTCGCAATCTCGACTTCTTTTGTGGCTAACCTCTCTTTAAGGTCATCAATTTCTTCACGCATAAGACGAAGAGTTTCCCGGATCGACTCCAATGCAGGATTTCCACCCCTCCCATATTCAAGAGAGGTTAACACGTCATCTTTATGTCTGTCAAATAGGTGGTGTATCTTGGACAGCTCCTCAGTTACCGCCCAATCCCACCACTGAACTAGGTGATCTCGATTATCCTTATATTCGTCTCCATCCTAGGAAGAATATAAAAAGTTAAAACCAGCAAGTTGTACTTAGTTGTTCCAGAATTGCAACTAAACCATACCTTAAGCACTGGGCATCTGTATACGCGCTCTCCTTGGCGCTGTCCTGTTAGACATCGCTCAAGTTTGACCATCTCACCACAGAAACACCTCTCGGGAACACCATAATTGGCATCTGCATTACATTCTCCATTGTTGATGCTTGCTACGGATGTGGAGGGTTGGGAGTAACTATGGGGCATATCTACGGTTTAGAAGATGAGTAGATCTGACCATTCAATCAAACATAAATCAATTAAATCTTAGTAAATCCGAATTAGTAGAAAGCAGATCTATGTGAGAGAAGTACCCAGATTTCGCAAAATTTGAAGAAATCTGAAAACCCTAATTTTTAGTGGTCTCGTGAAGAAGAGAGAAGAAGAAGAGAGAAAAGAAGAAGAAGAAGAAGTCGAGATGTGAGAGAGAGAGAGAGAGAGTACTCTCCTTATTAGATGAGAAGACTAGTGTGAACACATTTCTGTGGGACCGGTTTGAGTCAAAAACTAGTCAAAGACTAGTGTGAACACATTTCTGTGGGACCCCCGATAAATAGATTTTCTACATAGTTGTCTTTAGATGTTCAGTTGTCCTAATTTCCTCACAGTTGAACTATTTCTAAATTTGTAATTTTGTAGTTGAACCTTAAAAAATACCATAGATATCTAGTTGTTCACATCAATTTCCACATTATATTGGTGTTTAAGAAGTTTTCATAGAATAATTTGTCAGAAAACATAGTTTCCATACTTCTTCCATCTTTATAGATGATCTTGAACTAATTGTTCCTTGTTACCTAAAGAGTGATTTGTGTAATTTTGGTTTTTGCTCATATTAATTATTGATAATGTTACATATCATATATTAAAAGTATTAAATGTACTTTCAGAGTTTAAAAATGTTTTAATCACTTATTATGGTTTAATTTATGTAATTTTGTATTTTTTTGTAGTTTTAGTTGTTTCCAGTTGTATCGGTTGAACCCAGAAACCATTCTTGCTAATATTGTAAAGAAATAAAATAGTTTATATTACAAACTTATAAATAATAATCCATATATTACAAAGTGATATTAGTCTTACAAATAAAAATACAAGTACAAAGTTGTTTAAGTTATTCCGGTTGAACCCAAATGGTTACACAGTTGTTCCAGTTGAACCAAAATGGTCCAGTTGTTCCAGTTGAACCGGATCGGTAAAGTAGTTGTACCGGTTGAACCAGGGAATTAATCAAGATGCTTCTTGATAGTAAGATTTTAACTAAGATCAATTATCCTTAAATCACTATCATGTCATTGTAGTATTTAAGGTGTCAATCCAAATGGGTGTGATGCTAGCAATCAAGATGCAATCAGATTTTACAGAGTCAAGCTAAGCAATAACAGGTTTTGATGTTGTTAACAATCCTAAGTGATCATGCAAAAACAGAAATTATAACAGAAATATCTAATATACTCGACCAACACAGCCTGATGCCAAGCACTGGGTGTTGTCGAGTATCAGGTCGAGTAACAGCAGAAAGTGCAATAAAACTACTCTACCACACAGTCCGTTTGCCAGACACTGGATGTGGTCGAGTAACAGGTCGAGTACCAAATGGAAACTGCAGTAAAACTACTCTACCACACAGTTCGTTTCCAAACCGCTGGGTGTGGTCGAGTACTTCAAGTGAAATAAGTAAAAATGCAAAAACTAAGCAACAAGTAACGAGATCAAGCAATCAATAGCGATGTGAACAAAGAAATCAATTGGAAGAGAAATTCCCGAGGATGGGGTAATCGAGTAGTGAAGTCTCCTTAATCTAACAGGTGGTTAACATGCTCAACAAACTATCCCTAGACAACAAGTTCAATAGCCAAATCAAAGTGCTACCGCAACAGAGATCCTCAAGCAAAGCTAGTCCCAGACTCAATCACCATTGACGAGAGCTAACCTAACAGGCATTACGAAACAACAAGTCTAAGCCAAAACGCTCCCTGTAACCAATACCTTGGTACAGAGCCACGAATCTCTGGAATTAGTGGTTCAGACATTTCATCGAACACCTTTTGGGTGCGGAAATGTCTGGGCTCAGATTCCAGTTGATCAGAAAGCAATCAGCATTAAGAACAACTAATCCAGAAGGGATCTACCAATCAAACTCAACCACCTAGCAGATCAAGGATTCTAAACTACTCTAACCCATCCTCAAGAACCCTAATCACTACTCAAAACTCATGAACATGAACATAAACCCAGAAATGCATAAAAACTTCATACTAGCAAGATCTCAACAAGATGAACAACTTTGTAGAAGAAATCAAAAGCAAATACTCAATAGATTAAGAGAAATCTGGATTACAAATATGAAGAAAGCACTAATTGTTCTGCAGAAAAAGACTTAGTCTCAAAATTATGAGAAACAACCTATTTATAGCAAATACTAGGAAACCCTAAATCACAAGACGACAAAGTATTAAGGCGGTTTACGGAGACATTCGGCTTTGTGCAATCGAGTGAAGAAGTCGAGCAAAGCTGGCTCCTTTGCGGTTTCTTGATCTGGTCGTGATGCAATCGAGTACCTAGGTCGAGTGGTAAGTCGAGTAATGCTTCATCCTCTTCTCTTCCTTATGCTCAGTGTCTGGTTGAGTTGGGATCTGAGAAGACTTTGAAGCTTGTGATTAAGTGGCTGTGGGGGGGGTGGAGATCGAGCATCCAGTCGAGTGGCTGAAGAAGATGGTGCTCGACCACGAGGTCGAGTGGTAGGTCGAGTTGGTGAAGGAGACGGTACTCGACCACGAGGTCGAGTGGTCAGTCGAGTGGTCATCTGAAGACGAGGTCGAGTGGTGATCTGAAGAGTCTGCTGGTGATGCTCGACCGCGCAATCCACTTGGTGATGAGGAGATGTGGTCGAGTGATCTTGAGAGGCTGGCTGCTGAGAGTGCTCGACTGTGCAGGTCGAGTGATACTGTTGGTTTTGCTCTGCTTCTCCCAATCTGCTCGCCAACAGCTCCAAATCACCTGAAAACACTCAAATATGCAACATGCATGCAAATCTATCCTAAACATGTAAAGTGATGACAAGTGATGAGAAATGGTATGAAACAATGACAAAATGATGATAAAGTGATGCTAAATGGATGCTTAAAACATGTGAAATATACACATATCAACTCCCCCAAACTTATTCTTTGCTTGCCCTCAAGCAAACAATTAAGAACAAGCTGGAGGAGAGGTTTGAAAGCGGGGACTCGGAACCAAAGCATGCAGACAAAGCAAATGAACTCAATGTCCAAGTTAGTAATTGTGGAATGCTTAGAGACCAAACTCTACTTAAAAACTTTCCATTCTGACTCATGTGGCACTACAAACAACGTCCTGTAATATGCCAATGCCCAAGTATCAATCAAATAAAAGACGGAGCAAAGTCCATATATGCTTACATCTGCATTTCTCCCTTCCTTGCGGGCTAGGAACCTTGCTGCGGCAATGGCATGGACACACGGGTACTTGTCTATATCAAATGTCTTGCAAGAACAAGTTTTCATTTTCAAATCCACCAAAAAGCTGACCGACATCCCATCAATGACGTTGTATTCTTGTCTATAACTGTTAAGCTCAACAACTTTTAACTTCGCAGCAACTGGACATCGAGCATGCAAGATGTTCTCCACAAAAGGCACAACCTGTGATGTGCTCGATGCATTACCTGAATCTTGCCTATGGTTGTTAAACCATTCAGAGAACTTCTCAACCATGGCATCAATCATAGGTAAGAGGTCATACTTCCTCGCTTTCTTAAACACAGCGTTCATGGACTCCGCAGCATTGCTAGTGTCTATGTTGTACTTGTCTCCTTGGTAATGGTACCTAGACCACTGCTCTCTATCTATGGCTT